GATGCGACGTTTAATGACATTATACGAACCGCTGAAACAATCACATCAAGCAGAATTCTTCTTGAGAAGGAACATTCGCTTAGCTGTTCATAAATTTCACTCGCCTTTTATAGAGACAAGAATTTTCATTCAAAATCGAACATTTCTGAAGCCCGTCGTGAACCAGATGGATCGACGTTGCGTGCTCCTATTCTATTTAAAATCTCCTTTTATATTATCTTCCCATCTACGCCTACTCTTTCAAGAAGTCTAGTCCCTTCAGGATATCCAGCTGGGCTGTTGTGTATTTTGGATTGGCTGGTGAGGATAATACTGGAGGGCGAATCAGAACGAGTAGGGGAGGAAGTGACCGTATTTTATGGTTGTATCTTACATCTTCTTGAAGACTACGAAGTCCATGCATCAGAGAGAAGATTCGAATCCCATTAAAAAAATCTACTGCAAATAACGTCACTAGCCAACGACATACAATTGCAGGAATATAGAGTGAACATCAGAGTGGACTTGAAGTTCTCACGTTCGTGACTATGAAGAGTACGATCTTCTGGGTTATAACGTGTTGTGATTCTATGCAAGTCCACTGATGTTTGGAGGAACATACCGCCTCTATCTACAGGACACAAGAGTAAACCCAGAAAAAGAACCAACAATAAGCCGGCGACAATAAAAGATTGATGTCACACAGAACGTAAGAGGACTTTAATATACTACAGAGCGTTAAAACCCATAAATCCCACTCTTCGCTTCTCATGGTTCTCTCTGTTAGATACGCAGTAATTAACAGAAAACAGAAAAAGGTTTCTCTTACTCTGGAGGCAAAAATAATACTACTTGTAATTAATCGCTTTTTCCTGGAGTGGTTCATAAAATTTGTAGGTATTTTTTCCCTTGAGCACTGCTCAGGCCCTGGGTGGCCTCCATGCACGAAACTGACGCTCTATTGCATCGGCATGGCGTGTCCCGTAGTCTTCTCTTTCTTGTAACAGCTGCATATACATATCAGACTACGAGCGTCTCCTCTCTCACAATGCCCTTTCGGTACTTTTTCACGGAACGATGAAAGAAAGTGGCTGGAGAATTGATTCAACGGTCTTCTCTTATAACATTTCTCGGGAGAGTAACTGAAGAAGGCACTCAAAGACAAAGCGATCGGTCTATAAGCCGCTGATCGTCATATGCATTTAGTATCCTATATTTACACCATTATCAGCAATGAGGTTATCCCTTATCAATAGTTAGGTTACCAACTCACAGAGCAAAGATCTGTATCACGTGACAGATTCTTCAGAGGTTTCTATTAGGTTTTTGTCTCGAGTGTTCAGGTTTTACTCCACAGATAAGGCTAGCGTTACGCACTATATGTTTCAGAATTTCTCTTTTTAATTCTATGTATTTGTGTTCATGGTCTGTTGGCTAGGTTTGTAACATAAATTTTTATCTCTCTTTCCATCCTATTTACATGAATGTTCGTGATTTATCACAACTTTTATTTTATATTTTCCTGTTATCTCCCACATAGCTTGATCTCAGGATTTAAGCAGTTGTAGTGAATCTAACATGGGTTGTCCAGTGATTGAGGTTAGCTCTTTCTTAGGAACCCAACAGAGTAGGTGTTCTCCCCTCACTTGAGGCCGGAAACAGATCCAGTTTCCGAAATGTTGTGCTTTCTAATTTTTAGAATATCGAAAGACGGAAAAATCCGAGAACCCAGTAATAAACTCCGTGGTTTCCGTGGTCAGCGAACTATACCGACGGAGCGACCGCCGCTTGTCGGCGAAGTTAAAGCCAACTTTAGCGGATAGAAGGTGTCACGTGGTCAGCGCAGCGGATCCCCACGGCCGTTAATCTCGGTTTTTTCTAGACCGGAGCCTTGAAATAGCTCCTCAATTATTCTCATGCGAGGCTGAGTGGACCCCGTTCCAGACCCACTACTTCTCAGAAAATCTGGTAGCCGGGAATCGAACCCGGGACCTCTGGATCTGTATCCAGGAACTCTGACCATTAGACCACAGAGAAGGTCCGAGAACCCAGTAATTCTGACCAAAATTTTCCATAAGATAAAATTCTTCACAGGTGGGTGCTACAATTCTCACGAGAATCTTGCTCTCTGTCGTTGAACTCAATTTTTGTAGGTTCTGGTTTAAGAAGAGTAAAACTGTCCACCTTATCATGGCCGAGCTCCTTATTATAAAGTCTTGCATTCTAATTTAATTTCTATGCTGTATTATGGAACAGAAAATATCTTCTTCGCTCTGCTTTCTCATTTGAAAATTTACGTCTTCTGAGTATGTGCTAAGTGCTGTTCTTTAAGCAACATGTTTGGAAACGCCTATTCATCTCGCTTCGCGAATTAAAGCAGTTTAAGGAAATATTGCACTAATTATGCAAACCATCCAATAAATATAGCAGCAACTTTCATCAAGTAATAAGAGCTCTGTCTTCTGGTATGTGACGCCCGTACATTTTGTTATAAATGTACCGATTTTCGGAGGAACGTACTGCCTCCATCTTCAGGGTTAGAAAGTAAGAAACCATCAACCAGGAAAAGAGCAAGAAGCCTTCAACCGCGAGGATGAAGACAGTAAATTCCTCCGAAACGCCGGTAATATTCTACCGAACTACACGGCGTCACATCCCAGAAGACAATACTCTTCATTAAACCCTCTGAGAACATCAATTCCAAAATTTCATGAAATGATGCTTGCTAATGTAGTGTGCCAGTGGATATTAAATCATTACATTTTCGGAATAATTAGGCAATGCTAATGTCTGTCTAAATTCTCTGTTTGCAGGCTTCAGCGATCTGTATTCTGCGAATCGCTTCAGAAATGTCCATCGCATAACAGACAAACATCTAGAAACCTTCGCTCGCCATATTCCCTGAACGGTAAGTCAGGCAAAGCAACTATTATTTAGATTTAAAATATTACGGAAATTTAATAGAGAAATGTCCACAATAGAGGAGTATTAATTTAATATTAGGATCTGTAGAATGGTGGCTGTAAACAGTGCGTGTATTCTGGGGATATCAGTTTAGGATTGTCGCAGTGCCACGACATTGGAGACCTTGAGGCGCAACGGTTTGAGTTTGGTTTACACCTACACACCCACCCATGAAAATTGTGGGGTCTTACGGGTAGCATATATCTAGCCAATCCAATGTTTATTTTGGATTCCATACATTTACCTACACTAATGTATGAATACATGCGTATAAATCACACTCTTCTTCTTCTTGTTCTTCAATTTATGGTATAGACAATTAAACCTGCTCCGACTTCATATACACCTTCCACCTTATCCAAGGTCTTCTTCGGTCTCCGGATTTTTTCTATATACGGAAGAATATGTTTCAGTCTCTCGTAGTCAGTCATTGTGTTGAGGTCGTTTTTCCAACTTTAAGTGCACTCTGCTGACGAAATTTTGAGTTTTTACATAATATTTCATCTAGTCTATCTATCTATCTGTTAATCTATGTATCCATCCGTCCATTTATCTATTTTTCTTGTCTATAGTTATATATTAAAAATGGCTGTCCATAGCAGATGCAGTAAAAATTAGCATTACTCCACTATCAGCGTGAGATCTGTTTTGCTAACACTACGCTATATGCCTATCTAAATTATCTTTATTCTCTTTGTTGAATCTTTGAACTCAGATATTGACCACTGATACATAGGAGGCTTCTTTGCCGATATCCGATGCCAGCCTCTGTTAAGTGACAGACACCGGCAGTTAATTCTCATAATCATGTACACGTATATGCTGGAGTCAATTTCTGTTGTGTAGAGATGCCCAATTCCATTCTATATAAAAGTGTGACGCTACCTGAAAACGCCACATCCATTTGCTATTATGGAGGAGGGAACCATAGACCGTTATAAATCACAGGTCTACATCCAGTGCAAGTGCATTCTATTAGCAAATTAGTCACAAAATACATACACAGCACTATATTTTAATGCCAATAGCTGCAATATTATTTCACCATAGTAAAGTCTAATTACGATATAGTGTTTTAATACAAATGCTAAACCTTTCGAAGTAAAAGAATTTTATATGTATACTTAGAGAAAATATACAGAAATCGTGGCGAACATGATGTCGATAGTGTAGTTTTATACATCATTACATATAGGAGAACGGGTAAATATCATGTAATTAAAATGATGAGTTCTGGTTATCTAGGACACAATCGAGTTATAAAGTTACAGTGGAGAGTAAGCGGCCTCCGTAGTCTAGAGGTAACGTTCCCACCTCATGACTCGTAGTGCGCGGGTTCAAATACCCGGCGGAGGTCGTCGAATTTTTAAGGGCGGAAAAATTCAGGGAACAAGTCCTCCGGGAGGGACTTTAAGCCGTGGATCCCGTGTCGTAGCTTTACGGCACGTAAAAGAACCTCATATCTCCAAAGGAGGTCACTGAGCCAAATTAACGGACGTTTCCCGCCCAACAGCAGTCTCTAATACCTCTGGTAGATGGGGGAAGCATTATAGATACCTCTCAGCTAGTAGAGCCGGTCTCGCTGGCTGGGTGGGACTGATGGTAAGCACCAGTACCGGTAGGATATAGAGACTGGTAGAAATCATAGAGGGAAGCACAATGGACCAATACAGGTCTAAGTGCATGGGGAAACCCACCCTCTCCAATAGCTAACTAACTAACTACTACAGTGGAGAGTATGAAACGTCGAAAACGAAATTATAAGAATATTCTGATGTCAGAATATGCACTTCTTTTGAATTTGTACAGGTATGAATTTGAACTTTTGAGTGAAATGTAAGGTATTGATCATATCCTCTTCCTGTGCGTAAATAGGTTCACATCAAGGGGAATTGAAAATCGACGCCAAATCTTCAGTATGCACAAAATGTGTCTGCAGATTGGGGGATAGTGTATTGCGTGCACCTCTTCCTTCTTTACTTTCTTATCAATAAGTATGAGGATTGAGTTTCCTGGTGGAGTACCACACAGAACAATAAAACATGCAGATCACTTACTGAGATGTGACAGCTTGTAGGCATCAGCAGTGTTGATAACGTCCACATACGAGTGCAGCTCGAACCGACGTGCTGTGACGTTCTGGTTGTGATTTAGCATGGCAAACTTGAAGGCTGACTGGACCTCATCTGTCCCTTGTTCGAATATGGCGCCTGTTAACAAATTAGAGAAGTTTGAATTGCTTGTTGTGAAGAATAATCTCAGATCACAAAAGTGTATTTGTATGAAATTCATCACAACATCCAGACTAGTCCTGCGCCGACCCAACCTCCGATCGTACTGTTACCAGGAATTCTTCCTGCTGGGTTAATGGAGGCTCAGTGTTGGGGATAACCACTCATCTCCACCCCCTGCTGAGATTAAGAATGCTTCGACCTATTTCTCCACTCCTCCGTGAGGTTTAATAACGTGGTGTTTTAGTAAACATCGGAAAATTCACCTTTCGCCTTAGACTAAGTCACAATAAGAAGGTATTTGTAACTTAATAAGCCTGTCGGAAATGTGGCAAAGGCCAATATTTTGGAAAGACATACAACCAGTAGCAAACACTGGGCGGTGAAATTCTCATAAAACATTGTGGTCAAAAATTTCATAGGAAAGTACTTCTTCGGAGACCTGCCATTGAAGAAAGAATAATATTAAAATGAATCTTAAATAAGTAGGGTGTGAATGTGTGGACTGGAGTCAACCGGTTCAGAGAAGGCGCATAAATACGGCAATGAGCATTTGGTTTGCATGAAAGTTAGATGTCTTCTGGCAGTGTGAGGACTGTCAGCTGCTAAGATGGACCCTAATCCATGAAGTTCTTTATAGATGCACTGCTTCAGCATGTTAAGAGTCAGTTCGACTTCCATTCTCATGTTCAGATACAAAGAATACGTCAATGATGTAGTGAAACCTGTGCAGGAGCAGCAGTCGATCTACCTCCGCTGTTCTCTGTATCTTAGCCTAAAGATAGCAAAAGTCATCAGGCCCCCTCCCCAGCAGCGCACAGCACTGCTTCCCGCCTCTGATCCTGGGGCGTGAAAACTTTTTAATTACGAAGCGCCCGATACAATGAGGATTTTGTGAAGGGGCATGGGGTGGCTGTTGTAATTATCTGAGGTTTGCTGTGTTACCCGACTGTGAGACTTGTCTTGTAATTGAAAGGTTCAGATCTTCAATCTACAGCTTTCACGGTGCGTGAATCTTTTGAAAGATCGTAGCTCTGAGTTCACGGGTCGCATACTTCAGCCTTCGCCATGTTGGCAACGATCTTCAACAAATGATCTAAAGGCCATGTCTATCCGAATGTATACCAACAGTAACGAACTAATACAATTTACAGTAACTCTGTAAATTTATTATTGTCGGGGTCGTCATCATTATCATCATCATCATCATCATCACCATCATTATCATCATCATCATCATCAAGTCTGGAGTAGGTAACGGTTTCTAGGCCAATGACACTGACATCTCGTCTTAACTGAATTGATTTCCTAGACTTCGGGAAGAAGGCATTTCTTAATTATCTCAGAAAATGCCGGTATTATGGGGGTTTATTAAGTTGCTTGTTAATTTCCATGAGTTTTGAAGTCTGTTTCACTATTCTGTTATAGTGGCCAGTCCAGTTCTTCCTGCACTACAAATTATTCATTAAAGTTAATCTGGAGTAGGTAAAGGTAAGATTGCCGGTCACGGTAGCCGAGCGGTCTAAGGCATGTGCTGTCTTCTCTCGTTTGGAAACCGGGATCGTGGGTTCGAATCCATTCAGGGCATGGATTTTTAGTTTGTGTGTGTGCGTTTTTCTGTGTTTGTCTACAGGTAGAGGCCTTGCGACGAGCTGATCACCCGCTCAAGGAGTCCTACCGAATGTGTAAGATCTAGAAAAACCGAAGTGAACGGAGAAGTCCATGGCGGTAGACCTAGGGCCATTGGGGCTGTAGTGCCAAAGAAAAAAAAAGTAAGATTGTCCCTTTGGCTAACTAAGCATTTGTGCTGTGAAGGAGTGTGAAGGTGTAGCTCCACTAATTCTCAAATTGAGCCCTGGAATGAATAAAGTGGTCGGCTTTACACTTCGGCTGCTGTAGCCCTGAAAAATGACGCATGACACTCAGGGGTCTGTGTGGGTTACAGAACCAGTGAAACTCAACTATCCTGGCGAACAGTAATTTCCCAGTCTCTACCTGAAAGTGAAACCAGGTCATCCAAAAACACCCACTCGCTGTATTGATATGAGCTGTACCGGCTCGCGCTCTTATTAATCGAATATTATTATACTGTAGTTCCTTATATAATACTTCTATGGATTTAATCCAATCTGAACTATTTCTTTAGCTGTATATAAAATGTAATGGCGATTCAAAATTAATTATAATAACCTTTATTTTAGTGTTCAGTCTAAATATTCTGTACACTGTAGCAATATATGTAAATATTCTGTAACTTCCTTTTCATTTTCCCGAACTACTGCATCGTTTGGCATTTCTTAGAGATTTTTGTTTCAGCACTTTTATTCTGCTTTGCTCCTGGTTGTTAATACCTGAGTTTTACTTCCAAAAATAAGGGTAACTGTTACAAGGTCATTATAAAATTTTATCTGCATTTCCTGTGCTCCCTCAGAATTAAAAAATATTCTAGTAAAGCTAAATGTATCGACATAAACTTGTTCATGTTCCTAAGCACCGTTCCATGAGGACGTATCAAGAAGTATAGGTAAAGCTTTACCCATCTTTGATCTCGATACTAGACAGAGGTAAACTTGAAACTCCAGGCACTGTACAGCGGGGGGAAGAAAAATCATAACGAGGAGCTTCATCATTTTTCTTTCCATCAAATACGATTATGATTAGGACGATCGCTACAAGAGTGAAATGGACGAGGAATGTAGCATACATTGATACATATGAAGAATGCATACAAAAGTTTGGTTGAAAATCTAAAGAAAAGAGCCACTTGGAAGCCTAAACGTACAGAGGAGAATAATATTAACATAACTCTTAACGAACCTGGGTAGGACTGTAGAGACTGGATTCATCTGGCTCAAGAAACCAATGACAGGTTCTCCTGAACACGGCAATAAACATTCGAGTTTCATGAAATAGGGGTGGTGGGGGCACTTCTCGAATATTGGTAGCTGAGCGACTATTACCCTCTCAAGAATGGCCATTCTAAGAAATTTATTTCGCAGTTATATCTTTCGCCAAATTCACGACCCATATGATTGTAATATACTGACTCTTGGACCCACCCAGCCTCCTACTGAATGGGTACAGGGCGCTGTTTCCCTCGGGTGAAGAGGCCCTGGGAGGAGGGGGTTATCACTCATCACCTAGTGCCGAGGTCAAAAATAGTTTAACTATACCTTCAGTCCTCTTTGTGTCTTCTTGCCTGGTGTTTAATTGCTCAAACACAGGAACAAATTTACGTTTATGACTACAATATGAAGCTGCTTCAAGAATCTTGTTCAGTCAGCCATTGTACTGTTTGGGGTACTTTCCCCGAATCAAATAATATAACGTAGAACAACTGAGGCTGTTACCGCAAAGCGAGTGAGCGCCACAATTACGCAACGTGCAAAATGAGGAGCGCTCGGTGACAAGTGTCCGCTGTTTGCCACACGCCTCTAAGAGGTAGGTAAGTCTGATACATTGTGCTACGTGATGCCAGTCGACCGGCAGCTGCTGGGTACTTGCATCCCCTGAATCAATACCAACCATCCCAGGCAAGTACAACCTCCGTCAGGGCCCGCACGTCGCGTGTGGACCGTCAGTTGCTTCTCGCATATGAACTGTACTGCAAATCTGTTAATGTCGCTGTGAAGGGAATTCCAAACACGCGGATTCTCTCTAATTATTCTGAATAGGACGACACCTTCATACGCATCGTATTGACTTTAAACATGTTATATAGGCGGACCATTTCTATATTTCGTAAAGAAAATCCTGTAGTTTGGAAAACCATATAGTTTACAGACGAAACTCATCTTTATCTGAAAGGTTATTTTTAGCCTGCTTTCCTAAAATAGTGTTAACCAATGTCCATGCTGTCCGTATGTCTGTGTGTGTCTGTCTGTGAATCCCCCTTATTAACTTTTGAATGCCTGAACCAATTTTTATGAAACTTGGTACGTATATCATTGTACTTGAGCCTATCTCAACAGCATACTTCATAAATCCCTCCCATCAGTCTGTATGTGTATCTCTCCTACTTCTGCTAGGCAATGGCTCAGTAAACACGTTCCCGCGGCAAAAAATACACACAACAGTAATACAATTGTTGGATGCGTGTGTCTGTGGCTCTCTCTGTTTTTCCCATTTCGTTATTGGCTAACAACTCGGTAAAGACGATCCCATGCCATTAGAGATTTTTTGGAGGTGTCGTTATTTGTTCGCTCGAGTGCTTCTTTCGGAGAAATGCAACAGCAAGTTCCCCCATTTGTTCCCGGTGCAGTTACCCAGACAATTGCTTGTGCCTGTTTCGTGATGTCCTTATCTAATACTTCACATTAAAGTATCTGAAAGGTTAGAATTGCATGAATTTAGACGTGTACAAATTGTGGCATGTCCGCTGAAAGCCAGTATAGTTTAATCAGCAGAGACGGCCGTTGAGAGGCAACAGCTCTTTAAACACATGCAGACAGACCAGTCCGAGTCTGAGACTGTTGTAAGCCAGTCGCCCCTGGCGGAGGCATGTGAAACCCAATTGTTGTAAGCCGTTGGGTAGGAACACCGACTTAGTTGCGAGATAGTCGCCAGCCAGCGAGAAACGGAGCTGTCAATCCCGGAAGCTGAGGGATCTGCGGAGTTAGGAGTGTTATATTCGGACTAATACGGTATATTTCAAACTTCACTGCTGCTTTATCCTGCCTGTATTTTGATATTAAACAGAAAGGACTGCACAATTAACTGTAGGTAGCAAGTACGTGTTGAGAAATTAATGGTCACTCGGTTAAGCAAGAAAGTCTCTGCCTTTTATATATCCCGAATGGGCATTAATTTTCTTCACAAAAGCATGCAACTTATCGCTATTATGACCCCGATTAATCAAGTTCATATCCTTGCAACACGTTCACTTAAGTTTTATTTAATATTATCCTCCAATCTATGCCTACATCTTCCAGTTTATCAGTTCATGTAGGGATTCGGCCAATGTTACGTACACATTTCCC